GAGTAAACCATTTGAGGGCCACTTTGATAAGTGAGTTAACCGTTTGCGGGCCACTTTGAAAGCGAGTAAACCGTTTGGGGGACACTTTGATAAGTGAGTAAACCATTTGTGGGCCACTTTGATAAGTGAGTAAACCATTTGGGGGCCACTTTGATTAGTGAGTAAACCATTATGGGGCCACTTTGATAAGTGAGTAAACCGTTTGGGGGCCACTTTGATAAGTGAGTAAACCATTTGGGGGACACTTTGATAAGTGAGTTAACCGTTTGCAGGCCACTTTGAAAGCGAGTAAACCGTTTGGGGGACACTTTGATAAGTGAGTAAACCATTTGTGGGCCACTTTGATAAGTGAGTAAACCATTTGCGGGCCACTTTGAAAGCGAGTAAACTGTTTGGGGGCCACTTTGTTAAGTGAGTAAACCATTTGTGGGCCACTTTGAAAGTGAGTAAATCATTTGCGGCCACTTTGATAAGTGAGTAAACCATTTGCGGGCCACTTTGAAAGCGAGTAAACCGTTTGGGGGCCACTTTGAAAGCGAGTAAACCATTTGCGGGCCACTTTGATAAGTGAGTAAACCATTTTCGGGCCACTTTGATAAGTAAGTAAATCATTTGCGGGCCACTTTGATAAGTGAGTAAACCATTTGTGGGCCACTTTGAAAGTGAGTAAACCGTTTGGGGGCCACTTTGAAAGCGAGTAAACCATTTGCGGGCCACTTTGATAAGTGAGTAAACCATTTTCGGCCACTTTGATAAGTAAATAAATCATTTGCGGGCCACTTTGATAAGCGAGTAAACCGTTTGGGGGCCACTTTGAAAGCGAGTAAACCATTTGCGGGCCACTTTGATAAGTTAGTAAACCATTTTCGGGCCACTTTGATAAGTAAGTAAATCATTTGCGGGCCACTTTGATAAGTGCGTAAACCATTTGTGGGCTGTTTGAAAGTGAATAAACCGTTTTGGGGCCTAGTTTGAAAGCGAGTAAACCATTTGCGGGCCACTTTGATAAGTGAGTAAACCATTTTTGGGCCACTTTGATAAGTGAGTAAACCATTTACGGGCCACTTTGAAAGCAAGTAAACCGTTTGGGGGCCACTTTGATAAGTAAGTAAACCATTTGCGGGCCACTTTGAAAGCGAGTTAACCGTTTGGGGGCCACTTTGATAAGTGAGTAAACCATTGGGGGGCCACTTTGAAAGCGAGTAAACCGTTTGGGGGCCACTTTGAAAGCGAGTAAACAATTTGCGGGCCACTTTGAAAGCGCGAAAACAATTTGCGGGCCAC